TAGCCAAATGAAACATTGTTTTATGGACGAATTCCGAACTGTGTTTTTGTGTCTATAGCGGATCAGTGTTTCGTGGTACGCACGCGTAAGAACAAAACTGAACGTACGCACGCGAATTCGAAAATTGGAAGAGCAGAAGAAGAAAACATTGTGATCCAGATCAAAACAACAGGTAATTGCGTAGTTGCACAAAATCACCCTTTATTCGCCCCAATATGATAACATGTCACATGATTATTTTGATACCAAAAATAGCATGTTTACAATACAAAAAGCATGGCAAACTTGCTACTTTACCTTGAATCGGGCCATTAATCCTCAAATCCAAATGGTCATTGACCAAAACATGACTCCAAAAGTACACATTAAACTCCAAACGAGTACCGTATAATAAAACCATGATTTTTGTAAACAATCGCCCCTACATGGCAAGCACATCGGCGTGTCAAACGCTCACTGAATGAAAAGTTAACTGGGTGTGACGCAGATATGTGACGTCGCTTAACCCAGGGGTCATCTCGGAATGCAGAAATTTATTTTGTCCGGGGGTGTTTAATTAATTGTCTCATTCATGTTGTAGGGGTTGGGGTTGGTGTACCAGCCTTGAGATGAGAATTCCGTCTGTATATTCCCCAACAACCTAGACAACATGACAATTTTCCTTTGAACTAGATATTCGCCAACTAAGTGTCATAAATAAACTTACCGAGAGCCACAAAAAGCAGCTACAAGTAAAAATAAAATGCACGTGCTTATATGGCCATAAACGTAAACAACAATCTATGTGACAAACGAAGAAATGTGATTATTATAATATATTTTGTCACGGATAGCAATCTTATTATGAATTCCGTGATTTTGTTGCGTTTCCCTTATTACTTTGAACATGTATTATTTTAGAATAATACTATACGCTATTAAGGAGTGTACACTTTATGATTATACAGAAATGTTTAATTTATCATAATCGAGCAATACACAGTCTCTGAGTTTCGAACTTTAAATAAAAACGGCAACATTTAATACATGTTTACAAATTGCAGTATAAGCATATTGCACACGCAGCACCCAGGCAACAGACAATCCAGCTCTCGTGATCTCCGTGGCGTAAAATCCTCTTTCTCTCCAAGTCTGAACATTTCACTCGTTCCTACGTATACTCTGTCGGGCAAGCTGAACTTACGTCACCTATTGACATAACAAATTCAAATTCCCTTATCAAAATATTCAAGACCCGATCGCGATCAGTCGTGAAACTCGGCCAATAAACGATAATCCCGATACATGTATTCGCTTGTAAAACAATTAGTAATACAGATAGGGACACACCATAAAACCCCAGTCGGGCGACAGACAATTAATACCTACACAATCTATTATCAATTCGTGAGAATGCGATTGCAACCTGGTTATGTGAAATGGCAGAGAGGGGACCGGAATGGGACTTAAACCCTTGGAACAGCAATGGGTAGTAGAAAGGCATACCTAATTAAAATAGTTGGTTAATGTTTTTTAATGTGTTTACACTGGATCAGACATCACATCTGCTGACTGCCTCGCCATTAGCACTACGTACAGGATTTGTAGACACGTGAAACTTCTGCTGAAATATAAAAAAAAAAAGCAATATCATTGAATACAAAAAACACAAACAATTTTAAACGAAAGCGTCGACATCTTTTTTTCCCTCCTTTTTGTTTTGTTTTATATACTCTTCATTTATAGATTAAAGACTTGGTGTTATTACATACCATATAACCAAAAGTCATCATGAAAACGGGCCATTTTAAGAGTACATGTACAAGATGACAAAGTAAACATATCAGAAAGCCAGTAAAAACAACGTACACGTCGACAAAATTTAGGAGGATTTTGAATATGTTAATTATAAGCATGTGGTCTTTGTTGCAATCGGCACCTCATCCTTGATATCAAGGGGTTACGCTCAGTTTCATAGCAAAACGCAAAACTGTAGGCACGAGGAAATCTGTTTGATTGGTCTCAGGTAAAAATACTGACTAATTGCTAAGCTGATACCTGTCCTTTGAAGATTACAAAGTAGAGTTGCCCTACTTCAAAGCCTGTCAAGTATTACCGCTAGGTGACTGCGAGATTCTTTTGATGTACTACATCCAAGGATCGAACTAGTCTTCTTGTCTCATCAACAAGGTGGCGCACACCGAGCCTTCAATTATGCTATGACACATTCCAGGGGTGTATAGAGCGTAAGTGGATATCAAGGTGTCGGCACCTCAACTAGTTTAAATACAAACAAGCTTAATTTCATGGCCTGTGATATGGTAATCATGGCCGAAAAACGAACGAAATCTCACTGGGAGTTAAGCGTTCTATTTTAAGAAACAAATTACTTAGAATCAAAACTTTTTCTGAATTAAGAAACTGTCCAGATACTTGATCTGAAGTTTTCAATATCACCCCAAAACTGTCAAAATTGTGGTAGCGTGACGGTATACAATTTTGTTTCATTTATTGGAACCCCTTTGTATTTCACCTAGCAGAAGGGAGTTGAGCAAAAGCGTTTAACTAAGAAATCGTCTTTGAAGTTGTCCATGTATCTATTGGGTCGCTTACCTGACAGATTTTTTTTGAGACCACCCATCAATCGAGCATCACCGTCAGAGGCCAGCCAGTGGGCGCGATCCGTTATAGACAAACGTGATCCGTTAAAGACACAAAAACGGTAGGTTTTGTTTTGCTAATTTTGTTTTATATGGTAAAAATGTTCATCAATTATTTTAATATGACATGAAAGGATATACTTTGTACATTCTATAAATATACGATGCTTGTGGTAACCCTGTTCTCAGAAATTGTGTGGATCGTTTTTACGCCCAGTGATCCGCTACTGACGTAACGATGCATGGATGATTAGAAAATAAGAAGTTAATTTATTATATGCTGAAGAGAATCAGATGAGATTTATGGATAATCTTACGAAGAAACTGACCGCCTTATTTACGAGTTGCATGTTCTGGATCAGACCGACATTACACGACTCAGGATGAAATAGTAGTACGGGAAGACGGGTAAGAAGAAAACGCATCATATGAATAGTTACCAAAGACATAGTTAGATGTCATATTCATTTGTATTCCAATGTAGAACGTTTATTTTAGCCGGATAGTCGACAGACGACCATGCCACCATCTTTTCAAACATCAGAACTCTTTAGTGCCGAAGGGTCGAAACTAATGCCCAAAACGAAACCCGGCAACGGAAACGGACATTTCATTGGCCGGAATTCGGAATTTGGAAAGAAGTATAAAAGGCGAGAACGTCGTCGATTTCAATGTTATTCCATTAAACATTTCATGCAGATAGGTTCTGACCAAGGTATCAGGATGGATATTGAACTGGTAAGCCGTTTAGGCCTATACGCCCAAATAATGATCCATTCCCCCGAAATTGGATATAGTTACTGAACTAATACCCAGGAATTATTGACATTGTGTCTAGTTTCTGGATTTTACCCAATGACTGTTTAAACTTACCCAATGTCGGGTAAAAGTTATCAAATCTGTTTAGTTTTTTAGCTTAAGTAATTTCTTTGGATATTATGTTAAACTTTATGGTAAATTAATAACATTAATTTACCCAATAATTGATTTCGGGTACATATTTGACTTCACTCTAGTTTCGGATAAATCTTACCCGAGTACGGGTAAACTAGCTTCCCGGATATGGGTAAAGCATCTTAGGTAAATAAGTAAGCCATTATTTATACTGGATCCATATGGATTGTGAGCTGGCTACCAATACATTTTGTATTCTTAATTAATATTTTTTACATAATAAAATTATTAACTTGTATTTCTGCTTCGGGTCTTTTTTTGGTCACAGTGCTAGGCTGGGAACGAACCTTTATTTTATCATAATAAAAAAAAAAATTAAACAAAAAATTATGTCCAAAGATATCTTCTGTTTTATAATAATTTCATTTCTATTTCTCCTTATACATAGGACATCACATTAGATATGGACGATTGTCATTGATCATTTTGAGAGACTCGAAAGAAATAAAACCGGTGCCCGATTTTCTTATGCAATCGTCCCATCAATAAAACTAAAGATATTTTCTCCCTGAACACGCTAAGTTGATTTCAGTTGGGGTTCCATTTTTCTTTCCATTCATTTTTGTGTTGCTGGTGATCTCGCTGTTGTCTATTTATATGGACATTCCGTTCCGATTGTGTCTTGATACTGTGGAGTCATTTGTTTATTCCTAAAATAGGAGATGACTGAATGACGGAGATAAACGAGTTAATAGTCAATGCATAGCACAGGATAAGACAGTAACTGGATATTTATATGGCACGTTTATATCTCATTAATGCCTACATTTTGTAAAAAAATATATTAGAATATTCACAGTAGTCTAGTTCACAGTTCAGTAGCGAACTCATGCACGGATACGCCATTACCTAACGTGAAGTTAGTATTTCGTTATTACTACCTATTTTCATGTTTTCAATATAGTGTCATGAACAAATTGAAAGGATCTCAAAACTAGCCTTTAATGTAGGGCAATTTGTATAATAAGGCGAGAAATTGGTATGTTGGTACAGAGTTACATTACATTCCCAATTAGCACAACATGCTTCATGCTCTCTGTCACGATTCCGTCATATCATAGTGCAATGCAGATTGTTACCGTCCGTATACCTGATAAGGGACAGCACCGAACGGGACACTTGTGGGAAAGCGGCCCGAACTATTGGAATGATATGCAGGAAGTATCTTTGATGTATTTATCTCCCAACCCCTCCCCAAACACAGAAGTGTCTCGACCTGTGTACAGTTAAACCTACAAGTGCCTTGGTAGTACTTAGCGTTCTATTTAAGGAATCACGTGCCAAAAATATTTTCTTGCTAAAGACAATAAACATGGATGATATACATTTTTAATAAATGAACCAATATTTCAGGAATTGATTCTATAATATAAAATGCATCAATATTTAACAAGAAAAAAGCTCGGGTTGGGTACACAGACGGTAGGTTGTAAATCAATGACCGTATTTTAAACCGAAACATTAAAGATGTACAAAATATCATGTATCACTAGACGCGTATGAGATCCCTACAAACAACAAGAAATTGTTTAACGTTTTCAATGTTTGTCAACATTATCATTAGAATAGTTCAAATGAATCTAATTTGTCTGTTAAATGTTTCAATCCCTTAATATACTCGTTAAATGGAATTGAAATTAATTGCATTTCTTGTTTGTAATTTGAAACGTCCATTACGTTCAAAACTGTCCCTTAAAATTTTCAATGGTCAGATCTGGTAAAAAGCAGTTCAGAAAATCGAACGTGACATCAAGAGATAGGTCCTCTAAACACAGCAGACAATCAAGGACTGGCGAAGTTCGCTGACTGATATGCAATTTCCACTGACAGCGTTCATCCTCTAAATGTGTAAATCGGATAATTGAGTTGTATCCATACAGTGTACATGTCACCTGATCATGTAGGATATATGCGCTACTTCTGTTGCGTGTAATTAAAATAGAATGGTTTTCTAAACCGGTTAAGTTTGAGTCAGTTAACCAAACCAAAAGCATTGCTTTGGCATTTCTGTTCCATTAAACCACACAGATCACACCGGTCAAAGTCTAAATTGAAATGGGCTGTGTGTCTACTATAATCTAGTATGCAGATGACACGCCTTAGATAGTGCTTCTCGAATGGCATTAACAAAACCTTTGTTTATGGTGAACAAATGGTTATTACAATTCCACATGCCAAAATATGTCTAATTCGATCTAATTATATCAGAAATCATCACGAATCTGATAAATTTAGCATCAACAAATTTTCTGATCCCCAACCTATGCAATAATATCAGCTTCAACAGTAACATTTTGTAATCGGAAAGGGGTCTTTTATATCAATTATGATGTTCTTGAATTTTAAGTGTTTCGGAATCCATTGATACGCTCATTTTACGTTTGGATTGTCCTCACAGTTCTGTTTCACACAATGGAAGATGTTTCGTTCTCCTGAAAGATCAAAAGAAATTATACATTCATATATCGAATAATAAGAAAGGAATTAACAGTTGTACATGTATACAGGTAACTGCGAGCATTTATTATTGGTAACACAAATCACATTGATATAATCCCTATTTTTGAAATAGGTTTTCCTATATTCTGTGAGGGTTTTAATTTGCTTGAAGCAAATGTTGCAGTACTAAAACAACTCAATAAAAAGAACCTACTGTACCTTTCTTTTGCCTGAGGAACAGAATCAAATAGAACTGTAAGTCAAAGGTCAACTAATACCCCCGTTCCTATATATAGATCATACAAAGGTCACTGACATACTTCCTGTTCTCCCTCCCCATGCCAATACCTACTTACATACCAAATCGTGTTAGTCCAGATGAACGAGTTTTGCTGAAATCGTCCTAGTAGTTAAGTAAGAGTTGTCAGGACAAAGATTTTTAACAAAGGGGCCAAAACTCCTCAATAAGGGTCTAAATGAAAAAAGGACTACCCTGATGCCCGACATCAGGGGGTAATTACCATATCTGTAAACTTTCATTGAAATCGGCTAAGTTGTTTATGAGGAAGACAAAAGTTTTTTAAACAAAAGATCAAAACTCCTTTTTAAAGGATCGGAATGAAAAGATACTTCTTGGATGCACAATGTCAGAGGACAGTTAACATATCTGTAAATTGCTGTGAAAATTGGCCCTCGATGTTTTGGAGGAGTTGTCTAGACAAGTATTTTTCAACAAAGGGTCATTGCTCCGTAAAAAGGGGTCCGATTGAATTTTTTTTACCTGAATGCACAACATCATGTGGTACAGTTATAACATCTGAAAACTTTCTTTGAAATTGGCCCCAAAGTTTGGGAGGACATGTCCGGACAACAAAGAGTCATAACTTTGTACAAAATAGTGGTCAGAAGGACAAAAATAATACCTGCATGCACAACTTGAGGTGGTAGCTATCATATGTAAAAACTGTCGTTGGAATCGGTCCTTAACTTTAGAAGGAGTTGTCCGGACAAAAAGTTTAAGGATATTTTCAACAAAGGGCCATAATTTCGTTAAAAAAAGGTCATAATGAAAAAATATTACCTAGATGCACAGCTTCATGTGGTAGTTATCATATCTGGAAACTTTTGTTGAAATTGGTCCTTTCCTTTAGGACGGACAGACATCCTGATTCCATTATACCCCCTAACTTCGTTGAGAGGGTGTACCAACCTGATCCAACAACCTGAGCCTTTCTATTATATGAGGAACAGGATCAACAAACTGAGCCTTTCTATTACATGAGGAACAGGATCAACAAAATGAGTCTCTCTATTATCTTAGAAACGGGATCAACACACTGCGCCTTTCTATTATCTTAGGAACGGGATCAACAAACTGAGTCTTTCTGTTACCTGATGAACTGAATCAACCAACTGAGCCTTTCTATTACATGATGAACAGGATCAACAAACTGAGCCTTTCTATGACATGAGGAACAGGATCAACAAACTGAGCCTGTCTATTACATGAGGAACTGGATCAACAAACACAGTCTCTCTATTATCTTAGGAACGGGATCAACAAACTGAGTCTTTCTGTTACATGAGAAACTTAATCAATAAACTAAGTCTTTCTATTACCTGAGGTAAGATCAACAAACTGGGCCTTTCTATTACCTGGGGAACTGAATCACCCCATCTGTTTGTTTGTTCTACCATCTTCCATCCAAGAAGTGTCCTCTTCTTCTTCTTTAGGGATGCAAACCGAAAATTTGAATGTATAAATCTATTACATACTATTTTTGCAATTATCAATGTTTAATTTTAGGATAGCATTTGAAATAGTAAAATTAGTTGCGCAATTTTGTCTGATGGCAAAAACAATATTGTTTTTAGCAATAACATTTATCTCCAAATAATCTCACATAATTGTCATGTATATTTGATAATTGCAAATGTTAGCATAGTCTCTATAATGTTTCTTCTCTATGATTCTAGTATGCATATATATTGATATATATGTAAGGGTATACCTAAATCTTTAAAACATTTGACTTCTATTTTTGGTTATTAAGACGGTTACAGATTTTGCTCGGTATTGTTATCAACACACTAAAACAAAAACATGATCGATTTAATACCGAATATTTTCTGGGATAACTTGCTGAAAGTTATATATTTTCATTGTTATTCACAATCCTTAGTGCTGTGTTATTTCATAACGTTTTGTTGTGAATTGACGATGCCACATCTCCACTTAACTTACCTGTGTCAGATATAAATGACCGATCATCTTCATTGTCTTTAGTCATATGTGCTTCAAAATCTGTTTTAAAGAAGGACTTTATGAAATACACCACACACTATATGATGATTAAGACAGAATCTGCCATAAAAATTGAAGACAATTTTTTTTATAAAAATCGTATATTCCAAATTCCAAATAGCTCTCTGATTTAAAAGCGAAAACATATATCAGAAGTAACAGGACATTTATTTTGTCTTGCATTCATGTGCAACCCGAAGCAAAGGGCGTTAAGTGGTGTTACTTACATGCATTAAGTCCGGTATCAGTATGATCTGCAATATTAAGGACATCACATAATGTTAGATTACTTTTGAGCTGTACGCCTTCATTCGGTAATTCTTAGCATAGTTATGCCATTTGAACATTGGGAGTATATTCTGTCACCAGATACATAAACAAAACCCTCCCTGACATAAACATTATATTTAAATAAAGCAGTATTTATATTATTCATAAAAACAACATATTAAAAAAACTAATTATTTACACGGAAACCTCTGAAAAAGTATAAGGAAAACAAGACATAACAAGATTTTGCAGCTTCATAGATGACACCTGCATTTCGAAACCATGGTTTAGACTTAAAATCGGTAAAACTAGGACAAAATATGAAGAAAGTGAAGATTTACATGGGAGCCCATGAAAAATTAAAAGGTGCACAAGACCATATATTCCGGAAGGATAAGCGTCTTCTGCTTCAACGGCAACACTCAGCATGTGAATGTAGGTCAAATCAAGTAATGCCATCTCCCCTAAGCAATAACTAGTATGGTGACAACGACACAAGGCATACTGATGCGTGTGATAATATTAGTTTGGCCTTTATAGCACAAAAGGAAATGGAATAGTTTCTTAAGATATCAAGATGACGACCATAAAATCTGTCTAAAGTCTTCATCAATCTTCATCTATCAAAAACCTGTATTATTGCATGTAAGTTTGTCTGACACAAGAAGACATTTATAACGGAAATCATGATATTTGGATCCAGCTCTTAATTACCGAATCAAATGCAACATGTAAACAACGGTTGTTGTAAAAGTTCAAATCGAGAAATCAACATTGTCTCGCTTATTGTATAATTTAGTAAAAAGCCGTCCCTGCTTATCATGTTGCAAGTAATGACTGAAGTAAGCGGCTGATGTTGTGGAGTCGTTATTGTCATTGGTTTTACGTTAGAGTATATAAGACGGACGTGGTAAATACAGTTATTTCTGCATCTGAAAGGGAATTTTGAAGTCTTAGCAAGTTTTTTGTACCAGTCTTGATATCAAAACCAAGTATTATCGATAATAAATATGTCTGCCGATTACTAAAGACTCATCAGCAAATCATTTGGCAACAATGGGACTGCGAACAACAGATATTCGGTACCACTATTGTCCTGACTAGACATCATTTATCTTAATAATATTGTTGAACCTCATTCAGGTCGACATTGTTATGTCTCCAGGTTAACAAATACCATTATCTCTTGCAACACTGATCAACAATAGTGTACAAGTAAACACTAATGATATACCTGAGCTTGCAATGGATAAGGGAGCAATATAGAAAATGTCATACTTTTACAAGATCCGTTGAAATATATGTTAAATTATCTTTGAAATATTGAAATCAGAAAGTTTCTTTCATTTTGGTGTATCAATTTATCTGCATAAGTACATAGATGCTGATACACATACATACTACATTGATCAACAGGTCGCTAGCGGGTCAAGGTTTCAATTGTGACTATTATACATTTGCATTAAAAACACCTCATGTGCATTAAAACACCTCGTTTGCATTCAAAACATGTTATTTTGCGTTATAACTGTATCAATTTGATTAAAAGAAGACATCATTTGCATTCAAAACGTAGTGACATGTACAATCGAAAAATAGTGTTATGGACATTCGCTCTGAGTGCATAATAAATATATAAGTGACAAGTCATCAAACTTGTAAACAGACCCATTCTTCTGTTTCCGGTTCGAGCCAAAGGTAAAATCGGCACTACTTTTTTTATAGTATATCAGTGCTTCATAGCTATGTAAAACAAATTGTTTGATTTAATATATTTATTGTATGTTCGTACATACCCTGGACCGTTTTTCTTGTCCATTTAAACGCAAACGCAACGCAAACTCAATACAAACACACCCACACCGTTTTCTTTAAACACACCCCTGAAACGCAGTTCATAGTAGCCCAATAACAAAATTAGATTTAGATGAATTTGCTCGCGGAAGCGTGTCGGTCAGGGAGACCGATGTAAATGGACAACGAAATTCGGCAAACTGTTTTGCTTATGTAACTTTTTCACGCAGTCAAAGTTGATTTTTTTTTCAAAGTTGCTTGGACATATGTCGTGTTCACAGGTATTGGGCACAGTCTAATTGTCGTAATATGCTTCTCCATGATATAAGACTCGCACACATGTACCTAGATTTACACATGCTCAAACATCATGTGTATGTTAAGTAATCGAAATCATATAATATTTGTTGCTTTTTTTATCCAGAAATGTAGATTTGCAAAGACTCCATTAGAAGGTTTATAGAGTATATGTTAGCTCTGTAAGGCTAGGCATGGCTGGGGTTTTGACTATATTCATAACATTTTGAGAAATATGGCAATAACGAAAGAAACTAAATATTCACCGTTAAAAAAAAAAAAAGCTCACTACATTTTCTCTTATGTCATTTTTGTGTCGAATTCAACTATTGATCAGTTTCTGACGAATGACGTTGCATGTACTAGCTGAACTGTTAAAATGATGCAAATAGATGCATCATCGACATTCAAGGTGACTGTCATAATGGAAAAGTCTAATGTTTGTGCCCTCCTAAATGAACGATGCTATGTAGGCATATTACTGCACGTTATATAGACTTACAACACTAAGTTATATATAGGTGTAGATAACACCACAATATGGAAGCATATAACGGTCGGTTTTAGACATATACTGAAACACTATGTTATGTTAACGTATAACACAGCGTTAATTAGACATACAACTACGTTATGGAGACTTGTAACACTACGTTATGTAGGCATATAACACTGCGTTAAGGAGGCATATTTCACCGGCAACAAATAATAGTTTTCCTCACTCCCGAGTCATTGGATAACCCTGCCAGTAGTTGGTAAACATTTTGGCTACCCATTAGTTAGTAACACATTGGACGATATTGTATTGGTCAATCGACTAATAATGATGTCAAGTTACAATGCTTTGCTATGTCCTTTTCCATTCTGGCGTCATAATTTATGACCATCGTTTCACCGATTGGAAACGGGGAAAATGTATTCCAAAGTGAAATGTATAGTTTTAGATATAATATCTGAATATTGTCAGAGAAAAAAATCCTGCGACTCTTGATGGTTGATTATCATGTTTAAATAACTCTTTTGATAGTTAATTTACGAACTGTTCAAAACTCTCGAAAACTCGTGTCTCAATACAATTTGAAAACTAACTAACTAGAATTAGATAAACTTGATAACCAACCATAACTCGTTTAGGAATAACACTACATTATTGTGTCTTGTTACACTCTGTTATGAAGGCATATGACAGATTGTTACATTTATGAAGGAATATCATACTACGTTATGTTGGAATATAACACTACGTTATGTAGGAATATAACACTACGTTATGTAGGAATATAACACTACGTTATGTTGGAATATAACACTACGTTATGTAGGAATATAACACTACGTTATGTAGGCATATAACAATACGTTATGTAGGAATATAACACTGCGTTATGCAGGAATATAACTCTACGTTATGTAGGCATATACCAGTACGTTATGTAGGGATATAACACTACGTTATATATGAATATATCACTATGTTATGCAGACATATAACAATACGTAATGTAGAAGTATAACAAACGTTATGTAGGCATATAACACTACGTTATATAGGAATATATCACTATGTTATGTAGACATATAACACTACGTTATGTAGAAGATAACACTACGGTATGTAGGCATATACCACTACGTTATGTAGGAAAATAGCATTAGGTTATGTAGGAATATATCTCTACATCATGTTGGCGTATAACACTACGTTATGTAGGAATATAACCGTACGTTATGTAGGAATAGATCACTACGTTACACTGTATGTAGGCGTATAACACTACGTTATGTAGGCATATCACACTACATTGATCAAGTGCATATTGTGTAATCCTTACCTTCGCCTGGCAAGTATTCCATTGTGTCGCGTATCTCCGAGACAATGGTGGCAGCATGAAGGTCAACTGAAACGTGAATGTTGAAGGGTAAATAGTCATACCATTGCTTTGTTAAATTTATAAAGAATTTATAGATACGACACAACTATGGCTACAGTAAATATCAAACTTCGATAATATGAGAATATTTAAGTATTCTTGCAAGTGAGTAGACCAGATTTTTTCCGCAAAAATGCAATTTCGAACGCGATTTTGTCAATGAATCTAAGAAGAAGAATTTAAAACACTTTTGGAAATTACATGTATAGTTCTACCTATCAATAAGGGATATGTTTTTACTCAAACCAGAACGGAAAAATTGTATTAACGCTATCGATTTTCTGACTAGATGTAGAGTAAGCTATAGTAAAATAGCCTCGGTACATTTCTGGTACATAGCGAATGTACTCAAAATGTAGTTTATAAATATATATATATATGTAGGTGTGTTGTGCAGGATGAATCCGCTATCCATGTTTATCCGAGACATGCCGTTTATTTTTAGGGTCAAGCTATTTCTACTGTACGCTGCTACCTAACTGCACAATTGCAAATATATTTAGCAAAGATTGCAGGATCTAAACATGACATTGCGTTAAGAAGTTCTTTCAAAATGGTGCATAGATTTTTGTCAAGCATAACGTCATTGGATAGAATACGACGCCAACGATTACGCTGCCGATGTAAAGGTGTCCAATTCATGTGTAGACGTCACAATTACAGGAATCCTCATCCTATGATATTTATATAAGATATAATCAAATATAATCCTTGATTAGAAAGAAGTGAGTAAGTTACAAAGTAAAAATCAAGAAATTAGTTCATAGAAACTGTAATAGTTTACCTTCACTTTGAACCGGTGAAAAAGACACTACAAAAAACAGAAGTGTAACATAAAATACAATTTGACACGCTAATAAAATTTAATAAATAAAATAACTGTTAAAGTAGATATAGTATCAATGGTTATTGTAATACATATCACAAATTGATATTTAAACTACAGAATATTTGTATATGAATACAAAAAACCACCTTACAACAGAACGAAAATATTTCTGGATATGTATGTTTTTAATTGTGTATAAGATTGAATCTTATATAAATACTTTTATTTGCTTGGTTTTGAATTACATCTTAATCTAAAGTAGATCTGATTTCTTCTAAAAGACACCGAATATATATACATGTACTATTTCCCGACAGGGTCAGTAACCCGTGTGGTTTTCATCGGACTCTCATATAAATGCTTTGGTTAGCGTATTTTTAGAATAACATATTATTCTAAGGTAAATGCTAAGTTTGTTTTAAATACAAACAGTAATTGGAATCTTCTTGTATTGAGCTTTTGAAAACGTCTGTTTCCTTTGTCCAGCAAAGATTGCAAATCAGTAAGGTAGATCTGATTTCCTCTAAAAGACAACTAATATACTCGTATCTATATGACAGTTTCAGCAACTCACGTGACCATCATCAGAACTGTCTGGCGACGTGCTGCCATTATAAGATTTCCCATAAAGAGAAGGGCACTTGAGAAAGATGTCAACTAGTGCATGGGTTGCGTTGAGAGTTTGAAAAAAATATAGATACAATTTTATTTAGATGATAATTTTATAAAGGACATTATGCTTTGGTTTTTAAATATTTCCCTTAAGTTAATGACATTTCAACGTCTTTTACCAGATTCGATACCTAAAAAATGACTGTAAAGCATAATGTAGAAACCACACCAATCCACAAATCTAGTTACAATGTGGTCCCAAAATATATTCCATAATGACAATAAAAAGGCTTAAGAAGAACCTATTTTAACAGGCATTGCCAAAAAATAAATAAACCATGTCTATGTATAGATCAGTCTAGCATTGATGCGACAAACTACTCATTAAAATAAAATACAGAAAAGACACAAACAATGACATACGCAGCAAAATAATTTTCAAATAAGGTTAGATATATAATTGGTTAGATATCTAATTCTAACCATAAACGTGCAAGCAACTTACAGTCTGATACAAATAATAATACATTCTCTTTTATTTCAGTCTCTAAAGTGTTGCTAACCACTAGTTATTGGAGATGTACGTGTATGCAACATAAAATAAATTAAAATGTTATTGAAAACACTGAAGAGTATTGTGTGTAGTTGTTTAAATCGCATGATTAATATTTCGCGGTTTTCCGGATCAGAAACAGGTCGTGGGGATACAATTTAGCGCTACATTGCAAGGTAAATATATCGCCTTCACAATGATTTTTTCGTGTATTTCGTGTATTTTTGTTTGAGTCTATATGTATAAATATGTATTCTAGGAAATTATAATTCATGGTATTAGTATTCGTTTTGTATATTTTTTGCACTATTTTTGATAACCACGAACAAGGCGAAATATAATCCCGTGAATATTTCCAACTATACACTAATTGGAACACATACAACATTGTTCGTTAATTAACAATAATCCGACTGTTTAAGATGTAATACTTACTTGGAAACTGTCCTGTAACAAAGACACATGAAATATAGTAGTGTGTACATTTTATCAACAAGTTAAAATAGTCACAAGAAAGTATCACAAATATGACAATATAATCCAAGATTTTCTCTGGCATATCTTCACAAACGTCCCGCCTTCATTAACAAGTGGATCAGTAATGAGTTATGAAACATTTTCCCTTGTTTTCTCTTCTTCTGCTATGTGCAAGATGATTCAAAAAGCTGTATCGAACAAACTGTACTCTAAATACCAAGGCACACAGATGTTTCCAAATATGGATCCATTCTATGAATAGATGTTATCTAAATAGTATATCTTTTTCTACTTTATTAACTTTCAATCAACAAATAAGTGAATTCAAAATGAAATTGTCAAAAATTTAAAATATTTCCTTACATAAGCATATATAAGGCTATCTTGTCGTCGCATTTCGGAAAATAACGCATTAAATCCAAAAAATGAATTTGCCATCCATTGAAAATGTATACGTACCATATTCGTAGCTTCCTTGTCCAACTACAAACAAAACGTCAACGTTAGTAAATGAATGACACAGATGAACAATCATGTTCAGGATTCAATTTTAAATACGACACTTTGAAAACCATTTTGAATAAAATTCTAAAAAAAATACAAAGGAAAACTTTGTTAAATTTATTTGTAGAAAGTTATAATAAACTTAGTGAAGAAATAATACTATTATACATATTCTTAATAATCCTTATGAATGAATATTCTTACCGGTTTGTTTTGCGGGCATATTTGTATCTGAAATTGTAATATATAATGCATTAGGTCGTAGAGTAAATATTAGCATTTTTTTTATAAATGTAAAATTCATGATTTAAAGCGATTCCTATATATGTATAATCATTGTTGACTGTTTATTAGAAACTTACTCATCCGTCCATGGTTAGTTCAATTTAAAAAATATATAGAATGTAAATTAAAATCATGTATTAGCTATATTGCCTATATAGATAATCTTATCTGATTTCACCATTAACAAACAACACATACAGTACAAGCGTGAAAAGCCACACCGCCACCAATACCTTCCAGCCACAACAACCATAAAAACACGTCAGTGTATATGTGGACTTCCAAAAACAATTCACAACAATAAAAAAACATGCAAGTGCCTAGTGAAATTCCACAAACAATACACGCCAATCAAATCAATCATAAAAACACGTCAGTGTATATGTGATCCTCCACAAATTATCCACGCCAAGCAAAACAATCATAAAAACACGTCAGAGTATATGTGATCCTCCACAAATTATACACGCCAATCAAAACAATCATAAAAACACGTCAGTGCATATGTGATCCTCCCCAAATTATTCCGTCTTTGCGTATTGCAGAGTTATCTTCTCTTGGGAGCAGGCATTGATTGTTACGTCATCGGTTTGTATTAGAAAATTGCGTCGTTTTCTCAAAAATTGATGACGTCACTCACACAAACAAGTGACGTAACAATCAATACCTGCTCCCAATAGAAGATAACTCTGCAATACGCACAGACGGAATACACACCAATAAAAAACCCATTGAAACACGAAAGTGAACATGTTAAATTCTAGAAACAATATATACCAGTCAACACAACCATTAAAAACACGTCAGTGAATATGTGAATTTCCACAAACAATGCAATGTCATACCAGTCAAAACAGTTTTGCAATTATGTAAAGCAATTAGAACTACTACAAAAATAATACATATCAGCCTGACAAATAATTCATACTAGTCAGACAAACTTCACAAACCTTTGAACTACGATACCAGCACTGCAAAGCAGACGGTAAAACAACACAAAATACATACCAGGTCGTACAAACAGAACGCCAGGTCCTAAAAAGACCGAGAGAACATTGTTTACGAAATTAACTTACTGACGATTTGAAACCGTCATACTTGATCTTGTTTAATTTTTTTCCGAAACGAAGAAGTTTTACGTCCATCCTATATGGATCAAGATCACAATTCTTATTCCTAATGACGGAATACTGAGATGACGTCATTGTGTAGTTTACATTTTGTTAGAGTGTGTATTATACATGTACATGAAACCAAAGGTAATATTTTGGTGAGTATAAGGGTTGTAATCAAAATCATAAAAGATCGTAACTTTCAGTACAGCTAGCGGCGTGAGTGCAATTGTGCAATTGACGTAATTCTCAGTAAATTTTAAAATGTTGCGTTCCGCACGAAAATGTCAAGTGTGTATAAAAGAAATGTTTGCAGATTGTAAATCATCATTAGGACATTAGTCCCAACATTTGTCTAGTAAAAGAATAAGTTTAAATAATTACAACTTGTATTTGTTCATTCCAAATTTGATTCCAAATAAATCCATTTTAAAAATGACCTCGACCCTTTTATTCAAGCCATATACTCAATTCTCAAAACTATGCTGAACACCAAACTAAGGCGATTTACTGCCTTCTGTGTCATGAATCGGGATCAAGTACTTATTGTTAACGTGTAGGTGGGTACATTATATTAGGTATCTTTTAGAGAATCACTAAAAGTAGAGATTACATCTAAATACAGCCATTGACATTGTTCAAGTATTATCGATCCACTCCCCACCTATATGATAGTAATTTTCCAGCAATCAAGACGTCAATCACTGGTATTAGCGTGACTGAAAACGATATATGTCTTATTTTATTACTTGTTTAAGTGTGATAAATGTTGACTAATCAACTGACCGCAAAACTGATATTACATTTTTTTAACGGATGTACATGTAAGCGTGATATTTCAGGTCCAACCTACTGACAGCAATATATGTCTATTGCTAAAATTGGAGTAGGCGTGATATTCTAAGACTGGCCTACTGACAGCAATATCGCTTTGTTTGGAGTACGAGTGATTTTTAGAACTCATAATCATTGATGCAACCTTGACAATCCGATATTAATCTACTGATCGTGATATGGTGTTTGACAACGTTACTCACCTTTATGAGGTTTGTTCAATTCTGAAACAAGAACAAGTCAGTCATATTTATATATAATGAATATATAAAGAGAAAACTTTAAAAAAAAAAATCGTATTTACAAACAACATAAATCGATCACAGGTTTCATAGTAATGACCTTTACTGACACGTAAAACAAATTAAAAAAAACAACACTGTATACTGTATAGCTAGGTTACTACATGTATATCTTACTTCTCTAATTGTCAGTTAGTTCTATTGAAGCGTACTTTTATTATCAAAACATGTGTATATTAGATAGACAAAGTGGCATATTATTTAGGCACATAAATATGTTTGTTATTTCTGTTGAAATTAAGGCATTTTCCCTGTTGCCAAAGTCTCAAATTTACTATCAATAATAATATTGATAAATAATATTTTCACTATTGTCTAACTGTATATATATTGTCATTATGTAATAAATGTGGAACAAAGCACTTCCTAATTGTGCACTCGTGTTGTGTTTTTTTTATTCTTATAATATATATCAGACGAAGTCATGAATGGATGTGCTTATCCATTTTCTTATACTGCTTTGCATAGTTTGACGTTATCGAATTATAATTACATACGTACCGGAAAATTGGCTGCCAAATTCAATGTCTGGAACAGGAATAAGTTTACATTGGAAAGAAATAAGACCAAACTATATCATTCATTTTAAACAAAGACAAATAAATCGTCACATTAGGTTATGAATTCAAGTCAGCATGATGACATCAGTTATACTAGTAAATAAGATGCAATTACGGCAACATTAAGTTAGGCAGAAACTAAAATATAAGGGTCGAAAAGAAAACGGAAACCAAGGAGAACAGAAAACAAGAAGAAAACCCTAAATAATTAACTATAAGTAAGGTAAGCGTTGTTTGCTAGACATGAAGTTCCCATCCTAAAACAAATGTATTAAATAATTTTCAGGGGGAAAATTGAAGTTGATTTGTTCATCAAAATGTAGATGTACCTATTCTAGTCATTTTGTATTACAAACCTGAATCCTCGTCGTCATCTTCATCATCGCTATCATTAATAGCTGTCATAGGTGTTCCTGAAAAAGAAAATGAATCAATTTAAACATTAACATGAACAAGATAACATATACTGCTGACAAAGTATCAATAGCTATTGTTTTACACAAATATTAAAAACAAAAATACGTGTAGTCATTATAAAATGAAATCCAATTATATTATTGATCTTATCCATTCGATTTATTCAAGGTCTGTTTCATATAAAAAATAATACACTTACCAAGTACATTTATTTATTTATTGGGTTATTGACAAATCTCACACAAAGAAGGAACATATTGTGAACGTTTGTTTTTTGGAGGTCAAAATGATATGTCAATAACAGGATATTGTATGCAAGTCTAGACATTTCGTATGAAATGTCAACTGTCACACGAAAGTAGTTTAAGATTTTTTGCTTACCAGCAGGCGTCTGATTAGGTCTGGTCGCTGAAACTTTAAGAGAAGATATGGTTTATATCAATATATAAATATCAATACCCGTTTTAGCATTACAACAAAATCAGACTATTAAAAAAAAGGTTCCGTATTATTAGCTTAGTCAGTGTATCGTTGTAGATCTGTTAGCATACAAAACAATGTTCGAATAATTAACTTTGTTGATGTATTGGCTTTGCTTTGAACAATATTTCTTGATTTTGAAGGGTTAAATCAAGACGTTTTTAAATTACAACTAGTATAAATCAAAGCATGAAACAATTTGCTTGCAAACATAACCACGTGACTCGCACACAATGTGTTTGATATTTACATGTATTATTTCTCTGCTTTCAGAATTTTACAAACAAAAATTATATCATCATAATTGATAAATCTAATGAGACAGCGTTTTGTTCATAGTTGAATTTTCACAAAAACATATCGATACGATATATTATATTTGAATATCATTATCAAATACATTTGGTAGGGTGACCTAAGTATAAACATTCCAGGGTAAAACAATAATTATTAGAAAAAAGAAGCAGAGAGCGTTTATTAAACAGTATGTGTCGATGCAGAAAGCCAAATAAAGCAAACATTGTATTGCACCATATGGGAGTAAAGGTCAAAAGTATGAAAAGCAAACGTCTAACGTGTCCAATAACACATATATTTACATTTGCTCTGCATCCTTCCATTGTAATGCATAGTGAAGGCAAATGTTGTTATTAAACTATAACAACATTTGCTATTGTAACGTCATCAATCTTTATTGTGACGTCATCAATTTCACTGTTGTCAACACTGGATTTGCTATTCAAAACCTGTTCGATATAACTAAATAAAGCATAACTACTCTATCAAAATGTAAATATAAATAATGAATATTTTAGCAAGTATTGTTATGGTCCTACATGTATAACACGAATTTCTATTGCTGAGAAACTTACATAAAGCCCTACCGGCCTTATTAAGTTTGTCATCAATAGCAATGTGTGTTATGGGCCATAACAACATTTGCTAAAACATTAGTTGCTTATGTATAATACAAAAAATAGTATAGTAGCCCAACAATAGAGTCAGCCATTTTGCTACATTAAAAACGTGACTTAAAATTCAAAGTAAGGATGAGGATTTATTTATTTCAAATTTATTTTGGCAAAGCAAAAAGCCCAACAAAGTAAACGTTTTACTGTGCCATATGGCCATTTTGTCCATCAGTGGTTCTAACTGTCCCAGAAATATTTAAGGATTAACTTGAATATATACTTCATGTTATGGAGATATAACTAAAAAAAACGGAGTGTACTCTAAATAAACGGTTTATGACGAGAGTACACTCCGTTTTTTGTGTGTTAAAGCTCCATAACATGAAAAATAAGGCTGACAGTATCGTTTACGTGAATTCGTTGATTTATTTAAATCTGGTTCCAAGAAGAAACATGGCACACTAAAGCATAATATATTACCATCTCTAACAGTTAATAGGTTGATGATTCACCCTGTGCTACATACCTGTTAGTGAACTTTCCGTCATCCGGGATTTACCTGTAACATGTAATACAAGGTTGAGATTTCTGTTGAGGAACTTTTGTCAGTTGTATTGCTGCTATCGGAAAATTTGTTGTCAGGGAAACAGAACCTCATACAAAACCTGTTTTTCGTTTAATGCATGAAGACTTTAATATCAATGGGAAAATCTCGTCATTTCATTTCTCGATCTCGCCCGTATTGCGATATGATACGATCTATAATTAATACGGAAATATTGTGGAAGGAGAATACTACACAATGATTAATACAAGCTTTATAAACACTGTATTCTTTGATGTCAGAGTACAACGCCCCCTGACCCCACTGAAATAAGTTGAGTATTTGTCTCAAATTCATTATATTAATTAACCGTGTACTAAGGTATGATAATTTGTTCAGTCCCACGTAATATTGATTATTTATCTCAAAGACATTTTTTTTTTATAAAAGGCCCTAAATCAGGATGTGACGTATTGCTTAATAACGGCGTTCATCAGTCTTGATTACTATATACATTTATAGTCTTTGAAGTTTCTTGATTGGGGAAATGTTTGACGTGAAAAGATCTTTAATGAAGGAATTTGATATAACCAGTTCCATAACAAAACAACGCAAAAACAACTAATTCATTTTTTGCAACAACGCTGTCAGACTCGGATATTGAAAATGATGGTCCCACATTCCTAAAGTCTGATTTGACCAGATTCGAGCTCCATGAAGTACTCCGGCTAAGAACATTAAGTTATACTTACTCAAGGGCCTGAAAATTCACTATTTTAATCTAAAGCTGATTTTATTCCGTTATGATGCTGCGGCTGAGGTGTATTTGATCATTTTGATATCAAATATGTATTTATACCAGCAATCTGTATTGCTTATAAATTATGCTACATATATATTCTTTGTATGGTTAAGATAAAAAAATATATATATAACCGACGATTTAAATGAAATGACCGTTATTTCTGATGAATTTGCCATTTATCTACCTGCATGTAAACCATTGCCAAATTCATCAATTATTGTTCTTGTAGTAATATTTAAACCATACTTAGTCAGTTACATATTCCTACACTAGACACTAAAATAGGTGTGTTCCAACATATGATGCTCTAATAGGTCATATTATACCTAGTTGTTCAGTTTGATATTGTACTTGTACTTCACGGAATACCTCACCTGGTTTGAAATTGAGACATACCCATCTGACGCGCCAGAACCTTCGAAAAGTATTTGCTTTCTGACACACTTGATGACTTTGTCATAGTGTCTTAGTTAAACCGTAGTAGAAATATAAAGTACAACATGGGCTGTATCAGTATTGAAACAAGTTGCAAAGGGAAGTTCAACGATTAGAATAAAAATAGGTGCAAGATACAAAATATTGTTCAACCGCAGTGTGATTGGCCATGTGAATTCCACAAAACTGATGAAGCTGGGTGGTAACATCTCAGAACACCTTACATCTGAATATGACTTTGAGATTTGTGTGAATTGCCACTCAGCAAACTTATTACGTCGCCAGATTTGTTCCACATCTATATCTCAAACAAAGTACAATGTCTGGATCAAATATGACAGTAAACATCCTGATGATCCTACATATAAGCTATATGAACAAGAATTAAGGTAGACTCCGACAGGTAAGCTATAATTATGACCAAGAATTAAGGTAGAGTTCGACAGGTAAACTATATGACTTAGAATGAAAGTAGAATCCGACAGGTAAACTTTATGACCAAGAATTAAATTAGACTCCGAAAGGAAAAATTTATGACCAAGAATTAAATTAGACTCCGACAGGTAAACTATATGACCAAGAATTAAGGTAGATTCCGACAGGTAAACTATATGACCAAGAATTAAATTAGACTCCGACAGGTAAACTATATGACCAAGAATTAAGGTAGATTCTGACAGGTAAACTATATGACCAAGAATTAAGGTAGGCATGTAGAGATAGTCTTTATGACCAAGAATTAAGGTAGAGCCCGACAGGTAAACTATATGACCAAGAATTAAGGTAGACTCCGACAGGTAAACTATATGACCAAGAATCAAGGTAGACTCCGACAGGTAAACTATATGACCAAGAATTAAGGTAGACTCCGACAGGTAAACTATATGACCAAGAATTAAGGTAGACTCCGACAGGTAAACTTTATGACCAAGAATTAAATTAGACTCCGATAGGAAAACTATATGACCAAGAATTAAGGTAGAGCCCGACGGGTAAACTATATGACCAAGAATTAAGGTAGACTCCGACAGGTAAACTATATGACCAAATATTAAGATAGAGTCCAACAGTCCGAAGTATTAAGTTATAATGAAGTTGCCGATCTACTGATGAAACATGTGCACATGAATAATATATTTTTTCGTTTTCTTTTATTATAGCTGTCATTTTATCACGATATTTACATACACAGTGAACTGTTCATTAAAACCACTGCGTCTGAAAGAAATTATGTTGCAAACGTTGCAATAGTGGCTTTGCAATATATTCGTTATGATGAAAATATTGTCAACAAAACAGAATACGACTAGTATTTATGTTGCAAATAACAACGTCATGTTGCAATACAATCCTAAAGATGCAAACATTGTTTGGCAAACAGATCTGACTATCCTCAAAGGTAGTAGGAGATGCATTATGGCATTTCCGAAGGATGAAATGTCTGTACGAATGTTGGCTAAAATTTGCAGAGTAAGCAAGACGCAAAACGATAGATGATACGTCAGTAAATATAATTATTTTTACACAGGTAGCTGATTAAAGATGAAACAGTTTGGGATAAAGGTAAAACATCTTATCACTCTAATAGCAAGTAGATATGTAAGTGTTATGTAATGGGGAACAGACATCCTGAGGAAAGTGATAACGCCTAATGTAATTTTAAATATTTACTCAATGTATCAACTTATGTGATAGAAGACGGTGTTCAAGATATTCATTAATCTATAAGTTTTGTCATTCAGATGTAACTCCGGTTGTTGGGGTTTTTTTTGGGGGGGGGGGGGGTTCTTTGGAAAATTGCTTTTGTTTATATAAAGCTCGGCCGGAAAAGTATTAAGAATGAGCTGTCCGGTATTCAGGTCAGAAACCTCCGATCTGAGGACATCATCTACACTATATCCAGTCTTTATCAGCTACATCAGTGACATCTACCGTACTAGTAATGATGTATACTTTACCCCTGATTGATGATCTGTCTGTTTCTGCGCCTGTCTTGTACGTAGTAACGTTAACATCAATATCATCAAAAGCATATTTAGTGTTTTCCTGTTTCCCCTCTTCCTCTTCCTCTTCCTCTTCCGAATCTGTAATATAAAAGTCATCACGAAACGTGTTCGATCATACATTAAGTACAGGAGAGTCCAAGCACACAACAATACAATAGATTACTGAATTGATATGTTAGTCATTTTATATATTCCCAATACAAATGTGAATGGTAAAATATAGCCAGGATAAAATATAAAGTAAAGCCTCGTTCTATTGTCACCTTTTGTCCAGATAAATTTTGGTGTTACAAAGGGGTTTGGCGATAAATGTAGGGGAAATTATCAAGGAATACCTGAACAAAACAGAAAAGAAGAGAAGACCTTGATATACATTTAACTATATTGGCTTTAAGTGAGGTAGCAAAAGGAACTAGTGCATTTTATCTAGGCTTTTGCTGTGACTTCATTTCAGCAATTGTGATATAGAATGACTAACCAAGAGCTAATTAAGTTAGTTCCGTTTTCATAATTGAATTATGAATATCGAATAATGAATATCAACAGATAGGTGATGATAAACCACGACTATATATATCAAATAGCAGGTATCGTTAACTGAGTTGAATTGAATTCAACACAAAAGTAAATGTGTTTACTTATTTGATTTGCCTGACAAAAGGGACAAAATTTACCTCGACCAATCAGATTACAGGATTTTCATTAGAGGTATAATAGACGTTAGTTTGACTATAAGAGGATTACTTGTATGATTTATTGATATTGTAAGGAAAACATACAATGTTCACTCTGTTAGTGTAGCTACACACGATTCTCACTCTCAGTGGAGTAAGCAAATGCCATTTTCATGTTCAGTGAAGTAATTGTATGCCATTCTGACACTCGTAGAAGTGTTGCAAGCCGTTCTTAATCTCTTGAAAATAACCATATGTCATTTGCATTCTCAAGGGGGTACCTGTATGTTCATAGAAAAATAAATCAATGTCCATTATCAATGGAATACATGCATGGGTGGTATATAGTATCACCAAGACTAAGGATTCGGTCGGATTCATTAATCCTGCATTCAACAATTCCTTTGATAATATACAGTGAAGCGCTTATATTTCCCCGAGGTTTAATTATTTACTAAATAAATACAATAACCATAACAAAACCGCACTAATGTACCATTATAAACACATATAGCAAACAATGAGTGCTATAAGGTTTTGTCTTCGCTCGTACCTGAACAATTTTCAGTCTTTTGATTGTTCTGGTCCAAACATCTGAGGAGTAAATCACCTATATCTTCATGGAATAAAATATATCTGCCATATATATGACGATACCACTCTCCGACTTAGATATCGGTCGGCCTCGTTAATCCTGTATTCATCTTTTGTATTGATCAGTGAAGCGCTTACATTTCGCGGAAGTTTATATGATACAGCTCAGCTAACTTCCATAAGGAATACAAACTATAGCTAATTGATGTTTGCGTGGAATGTTTTCTCACTGTGTCTTTCTTTAAAGTTTTGTCTGTGGTCGTACCTAAATGTTTCCCAGTCTTTTGTTTGTTCCGGTTTTCAGATTTGAAGAGCCAGTTACAGATTAAATATAGAAAAACGTCGTTTTTATGTTGTCCTCTCCCTCGTGTTTTAGCAATTATCGTTCGCCTTAAAACATCAATTGCTAAATCACAACGTCCTGGCAATATCATTTATCAATACGTTATGACCCAGATTTCATTTTACCATATTCATCATTTGAAAAAAATCAACACAGAACATATCTTCTTCCTGTCATAAAAAAAAAACACAAAAAAACTATGCCAATTTCATTCATAAACGATTCATCATTGTTTCGTTTTTCCCCACTAACATAAAGGAACTAGACGTTTGTTTAGAAGTTTTTCTTTGTAATGTTTTTCCAACATGGTCCTCCGAAAAATTATAATCAAGTAGAGGTTTCTATTGATAACGACGGAACCGGAATAGCCGAATATCTACCACAAACAAACTACGAGTTATATCTGAGCGACAACCAGATCTCTGAGAGGACACACGGCCTCTACATACCAGCTATACCCGGGGAACAACTGCTAACCAGCTCTATGATAGGACACAAGGCCTCCACATACCAGTTATATCAGAGAGACAACTTATAACCAGCTCTCTGATAGGATACAAGGCCTCCACATACCAGTTATATCTGAGAGACAACTTATAACCAGCTCCCTGAGAGGACACAAGGTCTTCACATACATGTACCAGTTATACCTGAGAGACAACTGGTAACCAGGGCCCGTATTCATGAAACCGTTCTCATGCTCAAGCATGGATTTTGTGCTCAAGTCTAATATCTTGTTCCAGTTATAAATTATTTAAAGAGTTTTATTTTGTTAAAGTTTTGGACAAAAATTGAAGAAACTTGAAGCCGAATACTGTTTTCAATATTTAAATTTGACTTTTTGATCGTTTACATGATTTAGGTGGGTTACAAGAAAGCTGGCGTTGAGCACAGAATCCATACTTGAGTATGAGAACGGTTTCATGAATACGGGCTCAGATCTCTGAGAGGACACAAGGCCTCTACATACGAGCCAACTGGTAACTAAAGCAGGACTTCCACATTTGAAATCTATCTGAAAGGCAACTGGTATTTAAGTTCTATTTGAGAAACTACTTGTACGCATCCCTCTAAGACACAGAACATCAAAGTTTGTATTATCTGAGAGCAACACCATTGGGCCAAGGAAGAATGGCACTTCTCCAATACCAAGCTGGCCTGTTCGTTTATGCGGAACAACCGGTTTGACCGTTTATAAATGTAACAATTTCGGGTAATTGTACAGACCTTGCAAGGCTTTGTCAAGGCTCGCCTCAAAGCAGCATCAGATTACTAGGTCCGATCTTATTCAATAAACGAACAACTGTGGTCTGACCGGTTTGACCGTTTACACGAAAACGGCACTAGTTCTATGTTCTCTTATGTCACCCTGGTAAAATACTAATTTACTATATAACATGGGTTACATTTACATTACTGTGGGAAGGGGGATAACTCGCATACGTACCAGACATTAGTAGTTCTGCAATAGTTTCTGCTTCTGAAATCATAAAAATAAAAATGCATTCGTGTGTTAACTCTTCATTTAAACATAACTTTCTCAATCCGTACGAGTTTTTATATTTAGGTGTTATTGCAATACCGTAACGTTTTGTAATCCGCCAAATTAACCAGAACAATTCAAAAAGTATTTTTGTATGCATGTTGCCTTAGTCTATTTATCTTATAAAATATAAAATAATCATTCACCTGGTTTTGGAGTTTTACTCTTTATCTTCTTTACTGAAATACAAGAAAAAAAATCAATATATTCGTTCAAACAATGTGGCTATAGAGTTCATAATATAAAGTTGTTTTATGGAGCTCGTTATTTAGTCTTAATAATGATGTTCCATCATTATAATTTTAAATCAGCTATTCCAATTTCACGAAAGTCCATAAATCCGCACAAAGGTACGACATACTCAATTAACAAGAACAAAACGCAAATTTGTATATGTCTATTCAACAGGAAAGGCGGAATGAACCTTCACAGAAATCTGGAGACAAAATCAGATTACCGGAAGGAGAAGATTTTCTTGCACCAAATGTGGCACACATCATAATGTCTCTTGTTATGTACAGCTATACTGTAAGGAGTACCAAAGGTTAACAGGAAAATTGAGTGAATGTATCGCTAGTTCATTCGTGAATTTCCACAAAACTGTTTCCAGACCTTCTTTATCAACGAGTGACAACCGTTTTGACTGTTCACAAACAGACATATATAAACAACTTATCTGGACTTCGACAAAATGGTGATATGTTTGGCGCTTACAACATTTCATGGAGGAAAATGTTTACTGAACTACTCCGGATATTAAAAAATAAAGAACAATTAAATATCACTCATCACCATTAAATTAGAACGTTTCGTAACAATTTATACTTGTTACTATTAAAATTGATTAATACGTGAATGTGGCATAAAAAATATATATATTTTAATACGTACCTCGTGTTTTACGTGGTTTACCTGTAGAAAAAGAAACCAAGGTTTAATCACCTAGAGTTGAAGTTTAAATTGTATCAGAAATAACCGAAATTTGTTACATTTATATTTCAATAATAATCCCGATCATGTAATATGAATAAATCACTATCGGCATTTTTCAATGGTTACAATTTTCTTCATTTGTTTATGTGTTATCTAAAAAACACTTTAAATAACTTGTCAAAGAGTAATACAATAGGCATTTCCCCTCAATATCTTACCTAGACCTGCATAGGGACCGATACCTGCAAAAAGCGATAGAAACAATTTAAGCAATGAATAATCATGTATTATATGTAACGTTATTTAATATGATATCACAAAAAAAATATTGTTTGGCCGTATCAAAGGGTCAATATGTGACGTTTCAAAAACACTATATATTACGTCATACTATGTCGACTTTAGATTAAATCTATGTAGACTATGTATATGGAAACGTTACCGTTTTACCATCTTTTGATAGATAATAAGTATATTTTAGGACAAAGAAGAACAATTGGGTCCACAGATAATCCAGCTCCCACTAACACCTTAGCTTAGTCCCGCTAACACTTTAGTTTAGTCCAACTAACACTTTAGTTAAGTCCAACTAACATTTTAGTTTAGTCCCGCTATCACTTTAGTTTAATCCAACTGACACTTTAGTTTAGTTCCACTAACACTTTGGTTTAGTCCCACTAACACTTTAGTTTAGTCCAAATTACACGTTAGTTTAGTTCCACTAACAGTTTAGTTTAATCCAACTTACACTTTAGTTTAGTGTCACTAACACTTACGTTTGGTCCAACTACATGTGACACTTGATTTAAGTCCCACTAACAATTTATTTGAATCTAACTAACACTTTAGTCTAGTCCAACTAACACTTTAGTTTGGTCCAACTAACACTTTAGTTTAGTCACACTAACACTTTTGTTTGGTCACACTAACACTTAAGTTTGGTCCCACTAACACTTTAGTTTGTTCCAACTAACACTTTCGTTTAATCCCAATAACACTTTAGTTTGGTTCAACTAACACTTTCGTTTGGTCCCAATAACACTTTAGTCTAGTCCCACTAACACTTTTGTTTGGTTTCACTAACACTTTTATTTGGTCCCACTAACACTTTTGTTTGGAGCCACTAACATTTTTGTTTGGTCACACTAACACTTAAGTTTTGTCCCACTAACACTTTAGTTTGTTCCAACTAACACTTTAGTTTAATCCCACTAACACTTTAGTTTGGTCCAACTAACACTTTCGTTTGGTCCCACTAACACTTTAGTCTAGTCCCACTAACACTTTTGTTTGGTTTCACTAACACTTTTGTTTGGTCCCACTAACACTTTTGTTTGGAGCCACTAACATTTTTGCTTGGTCACACTAACACTTAAGTTTGGTCCCACTAACACTTTAGTTTGGTCTCACTAACACTTTAGTTTAGTCCCACTAACACTTTAGTTTGTTGCACTTATGACCTAGATGCTGTCTCGGACACTCATGACCTAGATCCAACTAACACCTTCGTTTGGTCCCACTAACACTTTAGTTTAGTCCCACTAACACTTTAGTTTGTTCCAACTAACACTTTCGTTTAATCCCACTAACACTTTAGTTTGGTCCAACTAACACCTTCGTTTGGTCCCACTAACACTTTAGTTTAGTCCCACTAACACTTTAGTTTGTTCCAACTAACACTTTCGTTTAATCCCACTAACACTTTAGTTTGGTCCAACTAACACCTTCGTTTGGTCCCACTAACACTTTAGTTTAGTCCCACTAACACTTTAGTTTGTTCCAACTAACACTTTCGTTTAATCCCACTAACACTTTAGTTTGGTCCAACTAACACTTTCGTTTGGTCCCACTAACACTTTAGTCTAGTCCCACTAACACTTTTGTTTGGTTTCACTAACACTTTTATTTGGTCCCACTAACACTTTTGTTTGGAGCCACTAACATTTTTGTTTGGTCACACTAACACTTAAGTTTGGTCCCACTAACACTTTAGTTTGTGTCCACTTACACTTTAGTTTAGTCCCACTTAGTTAAGTCCCACTAACACATTAGTTAAGTCCCACTAACACTTTAGTTTAGTCCCACTTAGTTAAGTCCCACTAACACTTTAGTTAAGTCCCACTTAGTTAAGTCCCACTAACACATTAGTTAAGTCCCACTAACACTTTAGTTAAGTCCCACTTAGTTAAGTCCCACTAACACATTAGTTTAGTCCCACTTAGTTAAGTCCCACTAACACTTTAGTTAAGTCCCACTAACACCTTAGTTAAGTCCCACTAACACATTAGTTTAGTCCCACTTAGTTAAGTCCCACTAACACTTTAGTTAAGTCCCACTAACACATTAGTTTAGTCCCACTAACACTTTCGTTTAGTCCCACTAACACTTTAGTTTATGTCCACTTACACTTTAGTTTAGTCCCACTTAGTTAAGTCCCACTAACACTTTAGTTAAGTCCCACTTAGTTAAGTCCCACTAACACATTAGTTAAGTCCCACTAACACTTTAGTTAAGTCCCACTTAGTTAAGTCCCACTAACACATTAGTTTAGTCCCACTTAGTTAAGTCCCACTAACACTTTAGTTAAGTCCCACTAACACATTAGTTAAGTCCCACTAACACATTAGTTTAGTCCCACTTAGTTAAGTCCCACTAACACTTTAGTTAAGTCCCACTAACACATTAGTTTAGTCCCACTAACACTTTCGTTTAGTCCCACTAACACTTTAGTTTATGTCCACTTACACTTTAGTTTAGTCCCACTTAGTTAAGTCCCACTAACACTTTAGTTAAGTCCCACTTAGTTAAGTCCCACTAACACATTAGTTAAGTCCCACTAACACTTTAGTTAAGTCCCACTTAGTTAAGTCCCACTAACACATTAGTTTAGTCCCACTTAGTTAAGTCCCACTAACACTTTAGTTAAGTCCCACTAACACATTAGTTAAGTCCCACTAACACATTAGTTTAGTCCCACTTAGTTAAGTCCCACTAACACCTTAGTTAAGTCCCACTAACACATTAGTTTAGTCCCACTTAGTTAAGTCCCACTAACACTTTAGTTAAGTCCCACTAACACATTAGTTTAGTCCCACTTAGTTAAGTCCCACTAACACCTTAGTTAAGTCCCACTAACACATTAGTTTAGTCCCACTTAGTTAAGTCCCACTAACACTTTAGTTAAGTCCCACTAACACCTTAGTTAAGTCCCACTAACACATTAGTTTAGTCCCACTTAGTTAAGTCCCACTAACACTTTAGTTAAGTCCCACTAACACATTAGTTTAGTCCCACTAACACTTTCGTTTAGTCCCACTAACACTTTAGTTTATGTCCACTTACACTTTAGTTTAGTCCCACTTAGTTAAGTCCCACTAACACTTTAGTTAAGTCCCACTTAGTTAAGTCCCACTAACACATTAGTTAAGTCCCACTAACACTTTAGTTAAGTCCCACTTAGTTAAGTCCCACTAACACATTAGTTTAGTCCCACTTAGTTAAGTCCCACTAACACTTTAGTTAAGTCCCACTAACACATTAGTTTAGTCCCACTAACACTTTCGTTTAGTCCCACTAACACTTTAGTTTATGTCCACTTACACTTTAGTTTAGTCCCACTTAGTTAAGTCCCACTAACACTTTAGTTAAGTCCCACTTAGTTAAGTCCCACTAACACATTAGTTAAGTCCCACTAACACTTTAGTTAAGTCCCACTTAGTTAAGTCCCACTAACACATTAGTTTAGTCCCACTTAGTTAAGTCCCACTAACACTTTAGTTAAGTCCCACTAACACATTAGTTAAGTCCCACTAACACATTAGTTTAGTCCCACTTAGTTAAGTCCCACTAACACTTTAGTTAAGTCCCACTAACACATTAGTTTAGTCCCACTAACACTTTCGTTTAGTCCCACTAACACTTTAGTTTATGTCCACTTACACTTTAGTTTAGGCCCACTTAGTTAAGTCCCACTAACACTTTAGTTAAGTCCCACTTAGTTAAGTCCCACTAACACATTAGTTAAGTCCCACTAACACTTTAGTTAAGTCCCACTTAGTTAAGTCCCACTAACACATTAGTTTAGTCCCACTTAGTTAAGTCCCACTAACACTTTAGTTAAGTCCCACTAACACATTAGTTAAGTCCCACTAACACATTAGTTTAGTCCCACTTAGTTAAGTCCCACTAACACTTTAGTTAAGTCCCACTAACACATTAGTTTAGTCCCACTTAGTTAAGTCCCACTAACACTTTAGTTAAGTCCCACTAACACATTAGTTTAGTCCCACTTAGTTAAGTCCCACTAACACTTTAGTTAAGTCCCACTAACACATTAGTTTAGTCCCACTTAGTTAAGTCCCACTAACACTTTAGTTAAGTCCCACTAACACATTAGTTTAGTCCCACTTAGTTAAGTCCCGCTAACACTTTAGTTTAGTCCCACTAAATCTCAACTTGTCTATGGAATGTAACTGGAATTAATTTAAAATGTAAACCCAAACAAGTCAGTTTCTATTAGGACTGTTATATCAACACAATAGATTTATGAGGGGAAACATCTTCGGCTGAATAAGTATCCATCGAATGATGATAAATAATGTATTACATCATATCCGGGTATCTGGTACACGTCAAGTCTGGATTTTATATTGTGATTTTGAATGGGTTTTTTTTTTTTCTTTGTTTCATGCTTCGAAAGATGGCACATATTTTTTAACGATTACTTAAATTTGTGTTATTGGACTCTACTAAAATTCCACAGCCGTTTAAGAAGGCTGAATCACGGGTCAGTGAGAGAAACGTAACCCTCGCTGCAATACCAGGACAAAATGTACTTGGCGCATTATCGAGGAACAGGAAAGATGGTTTTGATCACCTTTGCCTTAAATTTTACTTTAATCATGTGCTTAAATTGACTCATCCTCCCTCTGAAGAAAATTATCAAACACGAGCTAAGCTTATACAATGCTAGTGATACGAAAGTATTGTCAACATTGTGTTGGTATCAGTCTGTCCGCAGCCCGGTAATGAATAGACAAATACTTACCCATAGGAAATTTTCCTCTCGGGACTACAAAGAAAAATTGGAAAGGCATAGAAAGATCATAGTTCGTCATCTATACACACGTCAAACCTGCCTAAAAATGTACAACGAAAAACCGAAGCCTTCGATAACGTACCCAGTGAGTATTTATTGAATTAATTAATCAGATATTAAAGTTAATTTTCATAGGAAATATAATCGTGCACCATTTTGTCCAGATTAACAGCATTTCAATTGGAAAGTTAGGTTAAATATCTATAATGCATATATGTCTGTCAACATGTTGATATGATTTGAATTTTGACACATGGTTAGTTGCAATAGTTTTACAGTGCAGTGTGGTCTGAAGATTTAAATTTACAAATGTGAGATTTCTCATCAAGAAAATATTTAAATAACGAATCAGACAGGATTAACGCCATTGTAATACGATACACCTCTACCAGACTGTAAACAATGATTACCTACCTACATATTGTTCTGGGGCAGCTTCTAAAGAAAAAATAACAACAATTACAATTATTCTTGAAAATATAAGTGAGGTACATGCCGACCTACATCTGGCGTGTAAATAAAATGGATGGCCAGGAAAGTGCATGAATAATTGGAGTATAATACACTACACAAATAAATTTCGTAGGTCAAATATGGCCGAAGTCCATAGTACTCATACATACTATCAAATCTGTCTCGGACACTTATGTTCTAGTTGCTGTCTCGGACACTTATGACCTAGTTGCTGTCTCGGACACTTAAGACCTAGTTGCTGTCTTGGACACTTATGACCTAGTTGCTGTCTCGGACACTTATGACCTAGTTGCTGTCTCGGACACTTATGACCTAGTTGCTGTCTTGGACACTTATAACCTAGTTGCTGTCTCAGACTCTCATGACCTAGATGCTGTCTCGGACACTCATGACCTAGTTGCTGTATCGGACACTTATGACCTAG